AACTCACAATCAATGAGGTAGTAAGTATTAGCATCGCTTAAGAGTGATGGTGAGCAAAATTATTTCATGTTGTAATTGAAATTCACTTAAGAAAATACTTGAAAATAAGTGAAGAATACTATGGTAAATAAAACTGGTGAATGTTTTTGTATTTCCTATACTGTTATTTTAATGTACCCCCAAATTCAATGACCCAATAGGTCTCCCAACAATTACATTTTCATTCTTGTTTCTTAACATTTTTCTTGCATATTTGTGCTTCATGTTTCAATCAGTGTATTCACTCTATTTCAGTTGATCAAATAAGTCAAAATTTTCCATCTATTTTTGTACACATCTTTTTATATGATGAATTAGACTAATAATGTAAAATTAATCTTTAAACACGAACTAAAAAACCCTCACTTAAATGTTAAATGACAAGAAATAACATTGGCCCAAATCCAAATCGTTGCACCCTTATAACAATTTAGTTTGCAGGCATTTGTACTGCCCTTCTTCCAAGCCTGGTGGATAAGTGTGGATTGTGGAAGCATTGTTCTACGAGGCTTCAGGTTCGAAGGCTGGTATCCGTTGGGATGACGACTTTGATGAATCATGCATCCATGTGTGTATGTATGTGCGTGAGCGTGTACATACATACATACATATATATATATATATATTTCGACAATATGAGGTATTTCAAAATACCTCTGTTTGTTTCATATATATTTGTTTTTCCCGTCTGTTTTATGGACATAATTCCATCTCTATAAAACCTAGTTTCTTAAGTCCAAAAACTTGACCTCTTGCTATACAGCTTTGACTTATCACTTACGTAAACTTGCCTTGTCGCTTTTTTTCTCCTTATATTTTTTATTCAGTGTCATCATGCCATGTGGCTTCTTAATCTAATCATACATTGTCATCTTGAGAAAAATTTGCACAAAATAATACATTATTGAACAAGAAACGTGATATGGCAGTAAAACCATTAAAGGTTGGAAAATATCTTTTGGAGAGAACGTTGTTAGGGCCCAAATCCAAATAGTCGAAGGCCATTCATAGAAAATGTTTTTGCATATTAACCACCGGCCTTCTTCCAAACCTTATGGAAAGTGCACAAGCATGATCCATGTAGGGTCTGGCTTCGAGGGCAGGTATCCTGCGAATTTGATGTTCTTCATGGCCCCTCAGAGGAAACATATTATATCAACAATATGAGGTATTACAAAATACCTCTGTTTTTTTATGTACCTAATATTTTCTCTCCCCTATGTATTTAATTAACTCTATAAATGTTATTTGTTCATTATTAGTGATTTTTTATTCTTTTTCGAAGTCTAAATATTTTTAGGTTAAAATGTCCATAAAAATAATCTATATGTTGTAGGCCTATTGATTGAGGGATCTAGGGTTAGAGAGAGGGGTGCGGCAAGCTTTAGGGAGAAGAGGGATTGATTTAATTGTGAGGTGTGTTTGATTCACCCCATTGTACCTTTATTTATAGTAATAGAAAGGGGTAAAACCTTTCCTTTTAGGATTACAACATTTAATAGGTAATCTAATCCTAATAGGAATATAAGATACATTTCCAGATTCCCTAGGCTTACACAATCACATTTCTATTCTAAATATCATTGCAACACTCCCCTTGAGTGTGTAAATACTCAACATACCATCACATCAGATCTTCAGCAGATAAGGTAAAATAGTAGATGAAGTCATCGGCACAACGGGTGATCGCGAGTCTCAAATTTACTTTGAAGTATGCATTTGTAAAAACTCACAAAAACCTTGCTATGATAAAACCCAAGATAGGCAAAACCCATAGACTAAGGAGAAAAGTAAGAAAATATGCATAATGTCTAAAACGCTCGTCAAACTGGACGAAGGTAGTGAACTCAACGCTCGTCAAAATTCACCAAAATTTAGTGATTTTTCAATATTTATCGAAATTTAAATATTTTTAGATTAGAATGTTTATAAAATTAAAATATGATAGTGTACATTTTTTTTTTTAAATTTACTTTAAAAGAACAATTAGCCCAAATTTATTCTTTAATAATCTCAGGCTAAAAAATTTAGGCCAGAAGATTGGAGCAAAAAAGTTGTTTATGGGTTCAAAATTTTAGATTTTAGCGCAAAGGTTAAAGATGGGTTAACATGAAAATCAACATTATAGACCTTGGATTTGAAAACTATGTGCTGAAATACTAATAATGCTCACAAGAATAATGTTATTGGCATTATTCGTGGGGTGAACCTACTAACTTTTTGTATTATATATGGGAATTGGCCCGAAACAAAGACACCTGCTTTGGCACCTACTTTTTCTTTCTTTTCAAAGCATGATTTCCTAATTTTTATCAAAAAGGAAGGAGAAGCTTTATCTGGTGTCTTCTAATTCTGTAATAGTAGGTTTATAGTTTCTTGATTATATTATTAGAAATTTTAACGAAAAACTTACAGTATTATTTATTTAATAAAAAAATTATATTTTTACATGAAAAAGTCAATCTTGATAATATTCACTTTATTTTTTAGTTCATTCTTATCGTTAAAATTCAAAGTTTTTAAATTTTTTTATTACTTTTCCTTATATAATATAGAAACAAAAATACTTGCGACGACAATAAGATTCTTGATTATGATTGATCACACAACCACAAATGGCTGTCAGCTTCGTGAGGCTTCTTTTAGACTTTTAGTTGTTTTCCACCAATACTAAATATATTATTTACCGTGTGTCTCTGGACAATGATACCGAAATAAAAAAAAAGATTTCGAATCCATCTCGTACCCCAAAAACACAACAGCCACAAGACCAAATTTGCTATTTTCAATTTCTTCATTGCTGACAACGAAGGAGAAAATAAAGGCATTACGATGTAATAATATGTTTTGCTTTTGGATTGTAAGAAACTGAAGTCATTACTCGTAAGGAAGAGCAGCAGCACCCATTCCTTTATATGCATCATGCATGCTAGAAACTGGTAACTAGCGATGATGTGGATTAAAGTGACCCACAGGAAGCTGCAGACCCTATCATTTTTAAGGAATTTTAATGAAAAACTTCTGGTACTGTTCACTTTAACGAAAAATCATATTTTTATACTAAAAAGTTAATCATGGTACTATTTACTTTACTCTTTGTTTTGTCCTTATCGTTAAAACTCAAAGTTTTCAAGCTTTTTTCGTTAGTTTTTTTTTTTTTTTTTTTTTTTTTTTTTTTTTTTTTTTTTTTTAAGAATCTTGTGTGGCAAGGTGCACTACTAAAGGTCTCACACAATGGAAAACGACCATTTTTTTTTTTGGTTTTTTGGGGGGGGGGGGGGTTTGTTTTGTTGTGGATTAGCATGGTCTTTCCAAATTTTGTGCATTATTTATATATTAGTTTGGGTAAAGTACAACAAACTACCTCAACTATTGGTGTCACGACACTTTCACACCTCATCTTTTAAAATTGACAATGTCATACCTCAGCTTGCAAATTTGTGTCAATGTTATACCTTCCGTTAGCTTGGCGTGAATTTCTTAGTTAAGTGCTGACGTAGCTTGATTTAGGGCCCACTTTTTATTAAAAAATTATCAAAAACTAAAAAAAAATATCATTTAATATTTTTTAAATATTAAAATAATAAAGAAAAGTTAAAAAATAAAAAAATAAAAACAAAGCAAAACCTTTCATCCATTCCTCCCTTTCTCCCTCCCTGCCTCCCCCATCTACCTGCTGCAACCCAGAAAACAAAAGAAGAAGAAGGAAAAAAAAAAAAAAAACTTCATCCCTTCCCACCCGCATCCTTCTCTCTTCTCCCCCACCCACCCAGACCTTTACCTGCAACCCAGAAAAAAAAAAAAAAAAAAAATCCCAGTTCGTCTTCCCCTCGCATCCACCCTCCGCACCCACCCCTCGTGGAATCAGCTTGGCGAACGGGATTTGGGTTTTCTTTCCTTCTTCTTCTTCTTCTTCTTCTTCTTCGTCGGGGGGTTGGGGGTTGATGAGTTTTCATTTTTTTTTTTTTTTGGTTGAACAGTAAGCAGGGAAGAAGATGAAGATGGGGAGAGAGAGAAAAGGGAGGGGTAGAAGGGACTAAAGGTTTTGATTTTTGTTTTTTTTAACTGTTCTTTATTATTTTAATATTTAAAAATATTAAATGATTTTTTTTTAGTTTTTTTAATTTTTTTAATAGAAAGTAGGGTCTGGATTAAGCCACGTCAGCATTTAACTAACAAATTAACGGCAGGCTAACAAAAGGTATAACATTGGCACAAATTCGTAAGATGAGGTATGACACTGTCAATTTTAAAAGATGAGGTATGAAAATATCATGACACCAATAATTGAGGTAGTTTTTTGTATTTTACCCTATTAGTTTTATGTTTGGTTTTACAAAAGAAGCATTGTAAATGGTTTCAGTCAGGCGATCGGAATTTTGGTGCAATTGGAATGACACACTGCTTAAAATGCATTTTCACTACTAGTAATAACTTCTTGGGCGACGAAGGAGAAACTATCGTGTAAACGGAAAAACCGTCGCTAGAAACATTGCGTGACGAAGATTTCGTCATGCAAAGCTCTTGACGTCAGGCATTGCGCGACGGAGGAAATGTCCTCATTGCGCAAAATGAAGATTGCGCGATGGAAGTCGTGGTCATTGCACATATCAAGCGACGAAAATGGGTTTCGATACCCAAACTCTTGCGCGACGATGACATAGGTTCAACCCTCAAAGTCTTGCTCAACGGACATTCAACTTCGACCCACAAACTGTTGCACGACGGACATGTAGGTTCGACCCACAAACTCTTGCACAACGGACATAGAGGTCGTCACCATAAGATTTTAAAATTAGTTTTTTAAATAATCTATTATTTATTTATTTGTAAATTAGTTTTATAAATAATTTTGTTATTTTTATTTTCTTCGTTTATGTAAAATGAATTTAATGAAAATAGAAAATGTAAAGAAGAATATTGAATTGAAAAATTATGGTAAATGTACATACAATGGAAAAATGTATTTTTAAATTTGAAAACAATTTAAAACAAAACTAAAAAAAGAAGTCTACGACGTCACAATCGCCGGTTGGTGGTATTGTTGCTGTGTTAGGGGGTTAGGAGGTCGTAGCTGCTATGGCAGAGGGCTGAGAGGTCGTTTTTGGAGCTAGTTCAACGTTGGGGAATTGAATGCCAGAGATCTGAAGTGTGCGACGTATTTGGTTCATCCAATTATTTTGGGCCGCAATCTAAGACTACTAGGCTGCAATCTGCTCCTTCAAGCCCGCCACTTCAAATGTCAGTGTTTTGACTTGTTCAGTTCTTTGCCTGGAGGATGAGGCGGATGGGTCCTAAAGGTGGGCTTTCCCAAGCCCTAGGTGAACATTCTCATGCCGATGACCGAGGGTCTGATCAAGTGTGTCGGTCATGATCTGAAATCGAGCATCCTCAGGGGAAAACACCTCCTCCATTGGGGTCTCTAGGGGAAGCTAGGAAGCCACCTCCTCCAGAACTATCTGGCCTTTCTCCACCATGGTGGACTAGAAAAATGAGAAAAAAAAAACAAATTAATTTGAATATACATGTAATTAATATTAATACAAATTGAATATTATAAATTTGAAAGAACTTACATGAAGGTTTTCCGTCAGCTCATCCCTGGGCCGAACGTACACCTCCTTGAAAATGTCAATTTCAGGAAACTTTGACCTCCTGAAAAAATTTAAAAAGTATTAACATAGATTACCAATTGTGTAATAAAGAGTAAAAAGATTGAAACTTAAAATAAATATACAGTTAATTTACGTCGCTCCTCCAACCTATAAGAGAAGCGTCGTGACCCGGATCGGTGAAGAAGTTTCTTTTTCAACCGATTGATTGAGTTTGCCTTCACTTTTTTCTGTTGAATTAAAAAAACATATTAATTTAGATATTTATAACAAATGAATTTAAAAAAGTGAAATGTTTTTTTTTTAAATTGTAAATTTTTTTATTAATATATTATTGAAATATAAATTATACGTACCAAATATTTCTCGTCTTGAAAATGGCCGCAGAGCCACTCCTTTTCATCCCGACGGTCCAGCAACTCTATAAGGCACCCAACTTCTAGAGCGACCTCGGGACCGTCATATGGCTCATAATGCTTGTGGAGGTCACTCTTCCATTGAGTGAACCTACTAGAGCAAAGGTCATGGATGCACTTCATTTGGTTGGAATCGAGGTTGGAGAGCTCATAGTGATGCTGCACTCAACAAATAAATAGTAGTTAAAATTTATAATCTTTGTATTTCAAATAATTTAAAAAGCAGAACAAAAGCGTATGAGATTTTTGTTTTTGTTTTTGTTTTTTTTTTTTTTTTTTATCACATATAGATATGCATAGGGAAACTTATTCACCAAATGTAGCTACAAATGTCAAATTAAAAATGATATACAAATAGAGCAAAAATTGGCTGGGCCCAAACTCAATTTGTGAGGACTAAGTTCATTTTTGGGCATGCATTTGCACCGCCCTTCTTCTTAGCCTAGTGGTTAATTGCGGAAGCATAATTCCTCAAGATTCTGGCTTCGAAGGCTGGTACTTGCGTTGGTGATGATGATGAATGGATGAGAGGTTGGTATTTAAAATAATTTATGACCGCACGATGAACGATAAACGGAGAAGATCTTTTCATTCCTTTAACCAAATAAGGTATTCTAATATACCTTTGTTTTTCTATAGTTTCCACATGTAAAATATGAAGACATTGTGAATTCCATTTACAAAAGAGAAATTTTATCTGGATCCAGTTTTTTTATTTTTAAACCCAACTTTAATATTTTGTTACCTAAACTCTCTAGTTTACCATCATAAACAATAAGCATAAATAAACTGGAAAAACAAAGACTCATCAAACCTATTTCCCGACTGTTCTCTCTCCTTCCGGCGGGCTCCTCCTTGTCTTTGTTGGGTTTGTCTCGCTCCCGACTATTTTTTTTTTTTTTTTTTTGATATGCAGAAGAAGAGAGAAGGTCTGGAGTGGTGGTTGTGTGGTGGAGCTGCATGTGGGTGCTATCTTGGTTGAATGGGTGTAGAAAGATATTTAATTTTCATTTCCTTATTTCATTTTGTGTAAGGGGTAAAATAGGAATTACAGAGAATTTTTTTTTGTAGCTAGGTGTAAAAAGAGTTTCAGTGGGTCTAAATAAAATTATATTTACAAAAGTATCCCATATTTCTAGTTTCTTTTTATTTTAAAATTTGTCATTATTAAAGGAAGGGTAAATTTCGAATACAGAATGCATGAGTTGAAACAAACATATGTCATGTTACGAAAGGTCAAATTAATAAAATGACCGTACATTAGTGTAACTGGTTGGGCCCAAATACAAAGTTTAAAGTCGATTTTTGCATGATTTTTGCACTGGTCGTCTTACTGGCCTTGTGTACAAGAGCTGAAGCTTGCTTCCATTAGGTCTCAGGTTCGACGGCTGATAACGTTGAGATGGCGAGTTTGATGATGGTCAGGCATATGTGTGTGGTGGTAGAGAGTTAGTTCATTTTTGAGAGAGTTTTCTTAGCACTTCCCATATATCTATACATAAAAACAGAATGAGGTATGTCAAAGTACTTATGTTTTTTTTTTTAATGAGTAATGTTAGAGAGATTTTTTTTGTCAAACAATAAATTTTGTTATATTAGATATTACAGAGATTAAACTTATAGATAAAATTTTGTAAATTAAATGACATGAAAGTTGATGATTAGACTGCTACTCAAATGTTGATTAACATGCTTAATTCTTATTACTGATACATTATTTAGTTTAAAATTTTAGTCTACCTAGCATTATTTATTTTTTATACAGTTTTTTCCCCTCTGTTTTATTTTATTTCGTTCCATTTATTAGGTTAACACCAATTATACTATTTTGCATTCTATACTTTATTTCTTACGCAATTGTATAATTTATTTCGTCAAAATATGGTTCAATTTAAGATTTTGTTAACATTCTATCAACTAAGTATAGCACATAAAAATGTGTGTATGTCTTTGCTAAAATAATAATATAAAATTTTTAATTTTTTAAATTTTAATATTTATTTTTTAATAAATTTTAAAAATATGCCTTACAATTCGTCAAATTTAAATGTATTAATAAAAATGTGTAAAAATAACGTATATTAAATGTACGAAGTAATTATATACATGTATAGTATGTTGAAGTTTAAAAAACATGTAATTTAACAAATCATTAAGTTGTATAAAAAAAAAAACATAATTAGGTGCCTTTTTTTTTTTTTTTAGGTGAAAATTTTTTCTTGTGTTAAATGTTTGAGTAATGCTAGGAAGACAAAATTTATAAACTAAATGACATGGAGGTTGATGATTGAATTATTATTTAAGCGTTGATAAACATGCTCATTTCTTATTGGTTAGACATCATTTAGTTTGTAAGTTTTGTCTGCAAATTTAGTCTTCCAAACATTGCTCTAAATGTTTATTTACCCTAATACACAACTATGATTATGGACAAAATACGTTCAACATAAAATAATATATCTTCTTCTTCTTCCTTAGCAAATATTGGGGTTTGGTTAACAGCCTCAATACACTTTATGTTCATATATTCATCACTCTCTCTCTCTCTCTCTCTCTCTCTCTCTCTCTCTCTCTCACATAGCGTAATTTGGTATTTAGGGTTAGGTTTGTATGAATTTGTAATTTGAAATTGTAATTAATTAGGGTTTGGTTTTATGCTTCATTCTTCATCTTCTGGATTTAGGGAATTCCATCCAATTTCCAGTTAGTTGCATTCAATTTATTAGACATGGGTAACTCCCCGAGAGCACAAAAGCAGAGAAGAAAAGAAATACAAGTATATGGATTGGAGTGATGTCTTGCATAATACCCAATAGTAGGGGAGAGACTTGTTCCACCTTAATCAATCATTCAATACTTCTAATACAATTTCTATGGGACTGGGGTAACGAGATTTGGTTGTGGTGTACTCTCAGGGAACGGTTGATGTCATTGTGTTGCAATGTCTTGTTCGAATTAAACACTCGGTTGTTTCTTCCATCGTGACTATCTTGGTGGTTGATAGCAAGACGTTTGTGGTGGCAGCTGCGATGCTCAACCTTTGGAAGATAGAAATTAAAGTTTCTCTTATGTTTGTTTGTTTTGGTTATTGGGCTAGGTTTATTGTGTACTTGGGTTTTTCCCTTTTTTTTGAGTTGTTTGCCATCCTTTGTGTTGGCCCGGTGATATGTGTTGATCCATCCAATTACAATCCTTGTTTTTTTCTTAATGCAATGAAATATACTTTTTTGGACAAAAAAAAAAAAAGAGTATGAGCTCTCTGGTAATAGTAATGGATAGGGTGATTGTAATTACCAAAATGGACGAGAGAAGGCGTGGCAATTGGTTGTGCTCAATGAACTCCTTATATTTGTGTCAATTTTTAGATTAGGGTTTGGGTTTTGAGTTCATATAACATGTCATGTGCAAAATTATCACTCCTTCCTGGGTACTAGAATACCTCAGTTTGTTACATGATTGGAATTCATTTCACAAATTTCCTCTAATTAAAGTGATGGAAAAGACCAAATTTCTCTAATGGTCCATCAATCAATGGGCTCTAGTCTCATTCATCCTTCATGTTAGTCCAATCGTTAGTTAAGTTAATTCATGTATCTATTAGTGCATGTATTCTCATTTGGAGCCTAAATTTGGAGAATTTATGCCTCATTTGATATATTGAACTAATGATGTAAATGAAATGAAAAAAAAAAACAATTGTATTTTGTCTTCTTTATCTTTTTTTATGAACTTAGTCAATTTATGGATAAAATATGATAAGGGCCAATATTAGTAGGATACTAAATCCATTATTACTCTTTCAACCAAACCGAAGATTGTTGAATCATTGGTGAAGATTATTCACTTTTACATTTTGGTCGTAAAATTTAGCTAATTTTATTATATTAATTAATCATTCGTCATGATCAGTAGGTGTGTATATAAATTCATTTTTATATTTCAAAAATTTCCAATCTCTATTTTAACCAGCGTACAATATGAGTATTTGAAAATATAATTACACCAAAAAAGTATCTCGCTCCATGTAAGTTAATACACAGATCAAAAGCTTATAAGTTTCTATTAACATATGAGTTATCTCACTACACATTGATGATATACTAATCTTCCTCTTCATGAAACCTCGGTACAATATAAGGCGGCATTGTATTTTTCATCTTCGATTCAACAGTATGCCAAACAGAGTTAGTAACCCCAAAAAGTTCTTTTGGGGGAGTTCAAACTCGAGCAAACTTATTCGTAGCCTCGTGGTTAAATGCACCAGCATCAACAACCATGGTACTTGGTTTAATGCAAAATTAACCATTAAACACGACCTAGAAAAACCCTCTCAATATTTTTCATGCCACATTGGCCCAAATCCAAATGGTCCCAGTTATAATGATTCAGTTTGCACGCACTTGCACCGGCCTTCTTCCTAGCCTGGTGGATAATTGTAGATCGTGGAAGCATTATTCCATTAGGTTCCAGGTTCGAAGGCTGGTATCCGTTGAGATGGCGACTTTGATGAATCATGATTGCATGTGTGTGTGTGTGTGTATGTGTGTGCGTACGTATATATATATATATATATTTCAACAACATGAGGTATTTCAAAATACCTCTGTTTTTTATTTTTTATTTTTTATTTTATAACATATTTTATTTTTTTCCCCTCTGTTTTTTTATTTTTTTTATTTACTAGGTTAACACCAATCTAACCAAATCACATTTTAATAAATAAAAAAAAATAGAGAAAAGCTTGGTTAGATGCATTCTATTGTTATATGTATTTTATTTACCAGGCTATCATTTTTCATACGCTATCGTTATCTTCGTTGCCTTGGTTTGGGAACAGAAGTACAGGAGAATTAGTGTTGAATTTCTGTTAATTATCAATTCTTTCATCTAAACACAATATTAATTATTTCTTTTCAATTATTTGAGTTTTAGTTCAACTATACCAAGAGCACGAGGTTCAGTCATAGTACTAGATGATGATGGTTGGTAATGGGTTGTGTTCCATAAACCCATTCATTTACGTGTTGAGACTTATACTAGTACAAATTTCGGGTCATGTCACAAATTATCACCCTACTCACCATTTACTAAAACTAATTTGAATGATTTGGTCAATTTTCTGTCTACTCCCAATTCATCCATTTTATGCAATGCAACTTCTTGAAAAGTATTGTAGACATAACTAAAAACTAACTCATTTTAGGCCTTTTACTAAAAGAAAAACTAATGAAAATGGTTTGAAAACTTTGAGTTTTAACAATAAGGACAAAATAAAGGGTAAAGTGAATAATACTAGGATTGACTTTGTAGTGTAAAAATATGGTTTTTCGTTAAAATGAACAGTACCGGAAGCTTTTCGTTAAAGTTTCATTTCCTAAATCGTAAAACCTCGTTACCTCTAGAAGATGCACAATCGTTTGACAAAGTCTGCCAAGCCTTAGAAATTAGGTTCAACAAGTTTGCGTTATAATATTACCCATAAATTGCGCAAGCTAGCAATTATTTATACTACAAAGGGGAAAAAAAGAAATATGATTGATCATGGGCAGGCGTAATCCAACTTCTAATCTATCCATTGTTTGTCTAGGGTATTGAGAGACAATAAGGACACGATTCCATCTCTTTAAAGCCTAATTTCTTTAGTCCAAGAACTTCGACCTCTAGTACTATAGCTTGGACCTATCACTTACGTAAACTTGCCTTGTCGTTTTTTTACTTTTTCTTATATTTTTTGTTCATCGCTACGTGGCTTCTTGACCCAATCATACATTGTCATGTAGAAAAAAATTTGCACACGGCAATGCATTATTCGACAAGAACCACGACACGGCAGTGAATATGCTTCAAATACGTTATTCTCCTTACTGGTTGGACAATATTTTTTGGGGAACTTTCATGAATAGGGTTTAGGCTAGGTTTATTTTAAAAAAAAAAAAAAATCATGCTATAAATTTATTTAATGAAAAAGAAATAAATTTTAATGAAAAACCCTTAAATTTTAATAAAAATGACAAAAAAAACTTAATTTTTAATGAAAAGGACACAATTAA